TTTCTTCCAAAAGAACTGAAGATACTTAAGAGAAATTTCCCCCCTAGAATATGTCATTCTTTTCTTAGAAAAACGCTCATTAAGATTATATTTGTATATAATCTATCTCAGCGGTGAACTTATTTTTATGTATGTATTTATTTAAAGAAATCCTCAGGTAATCATAAAAAAATTCATTTTTTTGGTTCCATTCATCTTCAAGTTTTATATCTTCCATCATCTGTTGCTAAGTGACTCAGTCTTATGACGGACAGAAATCAGAAAAATCACAAATTCTGATGCTATGTGGCAATACAGGAATTTATCTTAGATCCTAAATGTTGTTCAAAATCTCTTTGACCACCATCTATTGACATGAAGAAGGCTATTTCAGACTGAGTAATAATAGCATTGCTTCATTGGCACATCTGGAAATCTGTTTTTCCTACAAAGTTACATTTTCTATTTCTATCCTGCCCGCCCCCTTACTTGCTTTTCTATCCATATAGACATATGATCCTTAAATTTTATATACATATGTGCATATTTACAATATATATTTAAGTACATGTTATATAATTTATATAAAATTTTGTGCTTGAAAATGTCTGTTTTCTCAGTTATAGTCAGGACAGTATCTTGGAATGGTATCTGAGCCTTTGGAAAATAAATCTAATACAGATGTTAATTGGATAACTAGAAGTCTTAGTGGTTTGTTTTTTATTGGAGATGACTTATGGTACATTAGTTTTACTTTTTTCGTTTGCATTTTCGGGGGACAGAATAGGGTTTCATGATACCATGAATTTCTGTAACTCAGAAAACACACTGCCTTCATGTGCATTACAACTTCTACGAAGACTTTTTATAAAAATCACAGAAGGCTAAAATTAACTTTTAAAAAACTTCATTGTGGCTCATCTGGTGTGGCTCTGTGGCTGAGCATTGACCTATGAACAAGGAGCTGGGCAGGGCACATGCCTGGATTGCAGGTTTGATCCCTGATGTGGAGTGTGCAGGAGGCAGCTGATAGATGATTCTCTCTCATCATTGATGTTTGTCTCTCTCTCACTCTCCTTCTCCCTCTCTCTCTGAAGTCTCTCAATGAACTAGCTTAATTAAATGGTTTTTCTTATTTCTTTTAATACTCCAATTTAGGTGTAAATACTTTTTGGGCTTTTTGTTTTTAACTGATTATCTGTGTAATACATGCTTGCTGCAGAGAACTTAGAAAATGCAGAAAAATGTAAAGTGGCAGCAAAAGAAATACCCACAATTCCACCTGTCATAAGCCATAAGCATCCATTTCTAGTATTTGGTCATCTTTACTTCTAATATTTTCTGCATAAAGTACCTATTTTTAGATAGCACTTTATATTATTCCATATGAAAAATGTTATATCTCTTCATTTCCAGAGTTGATATGACAAGGAGAGTGGATTTATAGAAAAACAAAGATCTTGATGGTGTTTCTGATAGAATTTCAGGATATAAACCACTAATCTGATAGATAATTTCTAAAAATAACAGTTTAGACTCTATCCTTCCATTTATGACTTGCTCGTATGTTTACAAATATGGCATTCAATGTTAGGCCTCTTATTGCTTCTAATAATTCTAATTTGTTCTTAATTTTACTATTATATGATAGTAAATAATTCCACATTTTATTTTTAAATGTATTTTATTGATTTTTTATGGAGAGGAATAGAGAATTAGAAACATCGATGAGAGAGAAACATCAACCAGCTGCCTCCTGCACATCCCCCATTGGGGATGTGCCCACAACCAAGGTACATGCCCTTGACTGGAATCGAACCTGGGACCTTTCAGTCCGAAGGCCCACGCTCTATCCACTGAGCCAAACCGGTTTTGGCTAATTCCACATTTTAAATGAAATAAAGTTTGAAGAAACTTAGGTGGCCAAATAAAAACTCTGACGATGATGTAGGCCAGTGGTCGGCAAACTCATTAGTCAACAGAGCCAAATATCAACGGTACAATTATTGCAATTTCTTTTGAGAGCCATTTTTTTTTTTTTCCAACTGAAACTTCTTCTAACGCCACTTCTTCAAAATAGACTCACCCAGGCCGTGGTATTTTGTGGAAGAGCCACATTCAAGGGGTCAAAGAGCCGCATGTGACTCCCGAACAGCAGTTTGCAACCACGGAGCTAGGCTTCAAATCTCCAACTCTCTTGTAGCATGGTGTGTTTGGAATCATGACAACTCTTCCTTTTGAGAGACTTTATTAATTTTATAAAGGTGATATATGCTTCTTATAAAAAAAACAAACCAAGCAATACAAAAAAGTACAAAGTGAAATCCAAAAGTTATATTACCTAGAAATAACTATATCTGTCCATCTATACATACATACAAGTAGGGACAAAGTTCCAAAAGGCTAATATACATACCATGCAAACATTGCTACTTAAGTTCAACAGAAGAAACTGAAGTTGAAGCAAAATGAATGAATTACTAAACTTTTAGTTAAATGTTCTTTTGTAAGATACAAATCAAGTTTAAAGATTATGAAAAGCAGTAAGGAGCTGTAAGTCTACATGGTTAACTCTTAAAAAGTAATTGAGACAGGAGCTAATTTATTTGCTTAGAAATAGCTTTTATTTATTATAGATATCGGACTGCTTGATAGTCAGAGGTATAGTATTTATTAGGTGTGTCTTTATTAGTTGTAAGGGACCCTAAAGGTCCCTTATTCCATTTTCTGCTGTGTATGGTGAAGGCATGGTTCAGAGCAAGCTTTGGGGTTAGATTGGATTGAATACCTACCTGTTCTTCCATTCAGGAACCATGTGATCATAGGCCTGTTTCATCCTCTGCCAAAAATGTGTTAATAGCATCTTCCTCATGTGGTTGTTGATGGGAGTAAGTGAAATAATACATGGAAAGCTCTTATGATAACACAATATATCCCCATTTTCCATTTTGGTTTTGCCTTTCTGCATAGTGAGTACTTTGGATTTTTTGGGGCAATCATTAAACCATCAATTCTACCTTGAACCATTTATTAATGTCTAATTTGAGTGTGAAAGAGGGTGATTTGATGCTTTGTAGTGATTATTTAATTTCTTCAATAAAAGTAAAAGAGTAAGTTGCACTTGTCTGATTGTGGATTTTAATACTGATTTGATTTATATTTGATTAATGAAATCATTTTCTGAGCCTTCAAGTTTTCCACTAAAATCTAGTGCAATGTGGATACACTACTCAACTTTACTGTGTAAAGGAACAGTTAAAAACAGTCACACAGTAAGAAATTACAAACGTGTCTAACACAAATCTGAACACAAAATGTAGGAACCATATGCAGTATTTATTTCTGTCTTCCAGCCTCCCTCACAGTACACAGTATAGCAAAAATCAATAAATGCTAAGTTGATGATGACATTACCTCAATTTGCAGAATTCCCACCTCAATAGCCTTGTAACAGTATGAGTAAGTAAATTTCTTTACAATGATTTCAAAGAGATGGGCTGAATTCTTTAGGTGGACGGAAATGTCATAGCAAATATTGCTGGTAATAAGTAAACCATTGGCTGGAGTTTAGAAATCTTTTTCTACACAATACCTTTTTTTTTTTTTTTGTAACAGGATTTGACCTGTAACTATTATTGAGAATTTTCTTAGTGGAGTTCAAAGCATTTTACAGGGATCATCTCATTTATCCCTCGAAAGTAAGGCAGAGGCATTATCTCCACTACAAACTGAGAACACTAAAAGGCCAGGATAGGTGGGGTTTTCTGTTGTTGTTTTGCTAAGATCAAAAAGTAATTCTAGGGCAAAGCCAGATTCCGGTCTGACCTTGTTACATGATGCTTCTGAGGCACCCTCATGCAATGCAGTGGCTTCCCTACGCCTCTCCTAGACCATGCTAAGGTGTTGAATAATTTCCAGAGTTGATTTCTCATTCATTCTTTCTACCTAAAAATGGGTCTTAAGATGTTAATTCAAAATAAAACCCTCAAATCCTTCCTATCAGAATCTTGGGTACAGAATACACAGACAGGAATAAGCATTTTTCCTCCCTCTCCTCTAAATCATGCTGTCCAATGGAAAAATAATGCGGGCCACCAATGTCACATGTATAATTCTAAGTGTTCTTGTAGTTACACTAAAATATATTTTATTTAGCCCAATGTATCAAAAATCTTATCACTTCAACATGTGATAACATTACTGAGACAGTTTACATTCTTTTTCTAGTATAAGTCTTCAAACTCTGGTGTGTATTTCACACTTGAGGCCCACCTCGATTTGGATTCACCACAGTTCAAATTCCTGAAAGCTGCGTGTGGCTGCAGGGGGGGGCGAGGGCGTGCCGGGTCTAGACTTTAGCAGGTTTTGCTTCGCTCTCCCTTCCGATTGGTGATCGGTGCCCTTGCGAATGGAACAGGTGGAGTGGGGAAGGGCTCCTGGGTTACTTGGAAGAACCCCCTCGCATTGAGTTGGTGACTAATAAGAGGCCCTGGCTTTGCCATTGACTGCTCCAAGCCTGGGGCGTTAGGGGGTTCAGGACCTAGAAAACTGCAAACCTCCCCAACTGTCTAACATGCCGGCTCCCTGCCAGGACCACGGTTCCCACCCTGGGAGAACCCAGGCTAAGGAACCTGCCAACTTCTGGGGGCTGCAGTGTGTGGCTCGCGGACAGGAGGCATCTCCCGGGGAGGAGACGAGGTGTCAGGCCATCCGAGTGGGCGCTTCTTGCGGGCAGGCGCTCCAGCAGCGGCTCCTGCGGGCGGGAGCGGCGGGCGCCGGGGCCGGGCTCGGGCCTCTCGCTGGAAGGAACGCACGTGCGGCCCCGGTTCGGGGGAGGGCGGCCAGCTTCCCGGCCCGAACCCCGCGGCGGCTCCGCGGCTGCGGCTGCGGCTGAGGGGCGGGCCCAGGTCCCGGCCCGCGCCGCCCGCCCCATGTGACCCGGTCCGGCGCGGTATCGCCTCCTCCCGGGGCGGCGGCGGCGGCGGCTCCGGCTCCGCGGCGGTCCGGCCCCGCGGCCGCTCATGGGCAGCCAGGGCCGCTCAGGCTCCCCCGGGGACGGCGGGCCGGGCGAGGGCGAGGCCGGGGAGGCGCGGAAGCCGCAGGAAGGCAGGGCCGCGAGGGAGAAGCGGAGGAAGGGGAAGGCGAGAGCGGGCGGCGGGCCGGGCGGAAGAGGAAGCGGCGCGGAGGGGAAGCCGGCGCCGCGGGACGCGCAGGCGGCGGCGGCGGCGGGGCCGGGAGCGAGCGCAGGCCCGGGGGCGGCAGCGGCGGGCGGCGGCCGCGAGGAGGCCGGAGCGGGCAGGGCCCTGAGGGGCGCGGAGCGGAGCGCAGGGCCGGGCGAGGAGGCCGCGGGAAGGGACGATGGGCCGGAGCGGGGGCTCAGGGCGGGGCGGCGCGAGGACGCGGGGCCGGAGGGAGCGCAGGGGCCCCGGGGAGAGGCCGGGGGCCGCCTCGCGGGGGCCGGGGCGGAGGCCGAGGAGGAGGAGGAGGCGGCCGGCCGCCCCGCCGCGGGGCCCGCGCTCTGGCGCCTGCCCGAGGAGCTGCTGCTGCTCATCTGCTCCTACCTGGACGCGCGCGCGCTCGGCCGCCTGGCGCAGGTGTGCCGCTGGCTGCGCCGCTTCACCGGCTGCGACCTGCTGTGGCGCCGCATCGCGCGGGCCTCCCTCAACTCCGGCTTCACGCGGCTCGGCACCGACCTGTAAGCGCCCCTCCCGCCGCCCGCTCCCCGCCCGCCCGCCCGGGCCGCGGCGTCCGGGGGGGGGGGGGGAGGGCGGGGCGCCGCGGCCTGGCCGGCCCGGGCCGTGTCGCGCCCTCCCCCCTCCCCGCTCCCCCGAACCCCGAGGCCCTAACCCCTAACCCGAGCACCCTTGTCCTGTCAGGGGGCGTCCCGTCCGAAGAAGCCCCCCGAGAGCGCCCTCCCGGTGGGCGGCCCTCACCTGGGCCGCGGGGAGCCTCCCGCAGCGGGTAGTGGTCTCCTCACGGCGCCTCGGCCCCGGGGCCCGGCGGGTCTGCGGCTTCGGAGGCCTCGCTCACGCCCAGGCCACCGGGTGGTCCACCAGGACGTTCCGTGGACAGCCATCCTCACACCCTCCTCTAAACGTGCTCGGGCCCCAGGGCCCAGATAAAACCGAGCGGGGAGAGGAGGCTCACACCTGAGAAGGCGCCGGGCCGGGGTCAGTTAGGGTTGATGACTCGATAGACGCCCAGAGGGGCCGCGCACGGCAGGAGGCAGGTACCCTGTGGGCTGTCTGTGAAGGCATGGCATTGCAGTTCGGCTTGTTCTTGGCAGGGTCTGAGCCCTCTGAGTGAACAACTTTCCCGACCCTCAAGCTATTAAATAGAAGGGAAACCATGTATGGACATGAGGGGGGTTGGGGGGAGGTGGGAGTAAAGTTTTCAGATTGCACCCAACTCCATCCAGTTTGGGTTTAAAAAAAAAAAAAAAGTACTAATACAGTATTAACACCAAAGAAAGTCGTTTTGAAACATAAAAAGCTGTCATGCCACCACCTCTAGACAACTGTTCATTTTTTAAAAAATTTCCAGTTGCACACTTCTCCCTCTTTCTGATTCTAACAGAATAGGTACATAACAAAGGTTTGTAAGCTGCACCATAAAGAGATTGAAAGCATTCCTCTAACGTTGAGTGTTTATGTTATGCCCAACTTTTTGCTATTATAGATAACAATGCAGTGAGTAACTTAATGTATGTTTGGTAACAGCTTTATTGAAATATAAGTCACATTCCATATATCTCTGAATTGGTTACTTAGGATTGGCATTATGGAATCAGAGGTTGGTTTGTAACAGTATATCTAGGCACAGTGGCACCTGCCATGAATGATTAAGCCAATTTTATGTGAGAATTTTAAAACTCTGCTATTTTGGGGCACATAATGGTATCTCAAAGTTTCGTTATTTTTGCATTCTTTTACCACTGACCAGGATAAATATTTACCCATGTGTTTGTTTCACACATAAGCTTGTTCCAAGTCCTTGCCCATTTACTATTGAAGTCTTGATGTGTTTATTTATTTTTTTTAAAATAAATTTGGAATCCTGTGGGTCGTAGCTATTAGGCTTTGGTTATCTTTGGTTCAAGTATTTTCCCCAATTCTTTATAATGCAATAATTAATAGCAATACAAGAATAAATTGTTTCATGTATTCACAACTGTAAACCTATTTTTGTCTACCCCTGTATATCAGAATCTGTCAGTCTTTTCTGGTTTCTTTTCTCCCAAATCTGAGAAATTTATAACTCCTCTACAGACCTGTTAAATCTTCTCTTTGAATAGCTATTTGTTTTCTTATAATTTGACTTTTTAAATTGATTTTAGAGAGAGAGGAAGAGAGAAACATAAATGTGAGAATGGAATATCATCTGGTTGCCTCCCACATGCACCCCCAACTGGGAATTGAACCCATAACCTGGGCATGTGCCTTGACCGGGAATGGAATTGGCAACCTTTTGGGGCACAGGATGATACTCCAACCAGCTGAGCCACACCAGCTAGGGCTGTTATAATTTGATTTTTAAAAATAGTTAACATGCCAAAACCGGTTTGGCTCAGTGGATAGAGCGTTGGCCTGCAAACTGAAGGATCCCTGGTTCGATTCTGGTCAAGGGCATGTGCCTTGGTTGTGGGCACATCCCCAGTGGGTGGTGTGCAGGAGGCAGCTGGTCGATGATTCTCTCTCATCGATGTTTCTAGCTCTCTATCCCTCTCTCTTCCACTCTGTACAAAATCAATAAAATATATTAAAAAAATAGTTAACACTTTCATCAATATCACTTGTGTGCAAGGGGTTGAGAGTTCAACTCTTATTGGCTAAATGGTTACCTAGTTATCACTATACCTTTTGTTGAATAATTCTTGTCTTTCTCTTTGTTTTAGAAAGCTTATTTTGTCAAATTTTAATGTACACATGCATACATCTATACACATACATATGTGTACTTATTGTAAAGGTGTATATATATGATCTATATCTGAACTCTACATTTTGTTCTACTGATATATTTTTTCATTCCCACACTATATTAAATGTTATTTTTTGATAGGGTCTGATATCTGTTAGGATTAGATTATCCTTGTTGTTGTTTTTCTTGGTGTGTGTGACAATCTCTACTTCCACTCAACCACCCAAGCAAAAGTAAATTCTGTGCCTTTGCAAAGTTTTTGTGGTTTTCACTTAAAAGTTTCCACATACCTTTTATTATATTTATTCCTAACTATTCCTAAATATTTTGTGCATTTTGTTTTTATTATGAATAATCTCTTCAGTATGTTTTCTAGTTGGGTATTATTAATCATGTATAAGATTAATCTTTTATAAATTTTGGTCATTTTGTTTAGCTTTTATTCTAGTTCGATTTTATTGTCGAAGAGTGTGATTATCTGGGGTTTTGAAGGTTGTAGTCTTGTTTCCTTTATTTCTTATAAGAAAAGCTTTCAGAGAATGTATAGTTGACCTATAAAAGAAGTTGGCTAAAATGATTGGAACTCAAGCCAGGCAAAGCAAAGTTTTGCTTTCTCTTCTTATAGAGATGGAGTGAATGAATGAAAGAATTTTTTTTTTCAAGTGTTTTAAAAGAGAGAGAATGGGAATGAGTGTGCATTCTATAAGCAATAATAACAAAACGAAAGTGGGTTTTCATTCTAAGTTTATAGTGCTTTGAGACTACAAAGTGATATAGCTTTATTACCTATTAGGCCTGTATGTTTTGATTTCTTGCCTGTGCCCTCGGATGAGATATCTCCAAACTTCTAGGGAAGCTGTTTTAGCACAGCCCTTGATAGAGCAAGGTCACTGTTTTCTGAGCTGCGAGGAGAAGTTTGTGTTAGAGCAGGTGGAGCCGTGTTGACCAGTGTGGTCTGGTTCTGGACAGCTGCAGAGACGTGATAAGCTACCAAGAGAGGTAGTTGCATCCCTGGAGGGCGATGGCATGCACCCAGTCCTCTTAGGGCATCAGGGCGCCAGGGCCCACAGTTCAGTGAGAGCATGGCTGCTTGGATAGTGGTAGGGCTGTAGTTCATGCTTTGGGCTAATTAATTGCCAATTGGACCATGGATACATTTTCATAAGTGACACACAACTTCATTTTATCAGAAATTTAACCTTAACCTCACAGCATCAGAGTTTTAGCATCTATAAAAAATAGGAATGCCATACCTAGGAAAATGAGGCTTAAGTGTGTGAATGCTACAGTGTTCAGCACATAGTAGGCACTCAACAAATTGTTGTAAAGTAGAACTTCTATAATTGCTTGGCTTCTCCTCTAGTCAGTCTGTATATGGCAGTGGTTGGCAAACTGCGGCTCGGTTGACCAGTGAGTTTGCCGGCCACTGGTAAATGGCAAAAGTGGAGATGCAGTCTGAAGGCAGGAGGGAAAACACACGCTGCTTAATGCCTCTCACCTGTCCTCGGTGTTTTGGGAATCATGACAGCAGAACCTGTGGGCTTAGGGTCTGCACTCCCTGCCGGAGAGCTCTCGATTCTCTGAAACACAAACTGCCAAGGTTTACTGACCTTCCGGCCCAGGGCAAGTCCCATTCAGGGTGGCTGCTCCAACTGATCAGAGCTTTGTTGTTGTGAGTAAGATGAACTGCTTTGGTTCCTTGTGATTTGTTAATGGTCTTATACTTGTGCTTGAAGGCATTTTGGCCACTTTTAAACCACAAACAAATAATTTGCTTCCCTTTAGGCCTCTTACCCAAACAGTGAACACTGGTAGGTATCCTGAGGGTTTTTTTTCTTTTTTCTTTTTTCTTCTAGCAGACACAGAGACGGCATGAGTTGGTCATCTGGCTTAAACTCAGTTTTGTTTGAAGGCTTTATGAAGCCTGGGGAAATAGAAATATCTTTAATATAAAAATCAAGGAAATGTCTCATATAGCAATCTTTTACGTTTTCCCAAGAGCAGGGGGGAAGCTAACCCAGTTCTGTCTTCAAAAGCAAAATAGTGACATTTAATTCTGTTAGTTTATAACGTTGGCTAAATGCAAGTAGTTAGTGTGACAGGTGGAAGAACAAAGATGCTATCTGCAGATATTCTGATGCTAAAATTAACAAGAGCAAAGAAATGAAAGAAAAAAAGTATATCTGTGTATGTACTAGTAAACCTATTTTTAAAAAATACTTCTGCCAGTCTTATATGAAAGAAAGCCTACTTACCCTTCCTCCCAAATTAATGTTTTCAACCTTGAATTTTATTTTCAATATCCTTTGAGCAATACCTGGGTCCTCTTGCATTTACCTGTGATAGATTTGCCTGGAACTAACAATAGGTGTTTGGGAAGTGAGGCGCTGAGGTGTTTGCCCTGGCATGTACATTCATTCCTCAGACAGAGTCTGGTGGGCTGGGAGCACTTTGAGGCTGGAGAACTGGGGTATCTATTTCAGTGATGATTAACGTGCAGAGTGGCGAGATGGACACAGATAAGCAGAGTGTGTTTGTTTGTTTTAAAATGATTGCACCTAAGAGCATTTTTTTTTTTTTTTGGCCCAGAAAGCATAAAGTTTCCTTTCCTAGCTCTGAACAGAGAAGGCACTGCTGACTGGTTACATTTAATGCCTAAAGCAAATATCAACTTAAAGCAGCTTTGCTTTCTCCTTCACCTTTCTGCCTTACCTAGGGAGAACTTACTTGTTCTCCAGTTCATTGCAAGGTTTTGTATACAGAGCTTGGCAAAAG